ATATAGGATTAGGAATATCTGATGGAATTGGGTGTGCCTCAGGAGCACTGTGATGGGTGCAACTCAATAAACCTAAGTTCCCTGCGGTAGGAGCAAGAACAAACCAACACAGCCCCTTTTCATTCTTTGCTTGTTTTTGGCCACATCTGGCTGTGCTTAGGGCTTACTCCTGGCTTTGCACTGGAGGGTTACTTTTGGCAAGACTCTATGGGTAGCTGGGGATTGAGCCCAGGCAGTTTTATACAAGGCAAGTACCCTGACTCCATACTATCTTTCTGGCCTTGGGCATGGAGTTTCAGCATTCTTTCTTCTGTTTTCCAAAGGTGGCCTCATGTGGGCAGTTTGTGTATTCAGATATCTCAAACCCCCAAAAGAAACTTTGACATAGACAAAAGAAACATAGACAAGGTATGGCCACCGCCCCTCCCCCAGCCCTCCATGACCACCACATGATGTGACCCAGTTCCTGATACTTGGTGGCCACACCATTGGAAATCTGGGGAAGCTGCTGCTGATCATTCCACAACTTTATCTTCCCAAGGTTTCATAACCATTGTTGGTTGCACAATGTATTGCCAACGCACAGGTCTTGAGACTTCTGTTCTGAAAACTTGAAGACACGTGAGGATAAAGGACAAAGAATCACTGCGTGGCAGAACTGCTCATGTCTGTAGGCAGATAACATTATCTTTTTAGTTCTTTAAATAAATATTTGTTTTGGTCCCAAAATTCCTGAATGTCCTCGACTTAATTCATCAACTGCTAAAATTTGCCTCATTTCTCTGTGTTCTACTTCTCATATGCAGGTTCTGTAGACAATATATAAATTTTTTTAAATGTATGAATATATCATTATCATTGGAGAGAAAATTGCAAATATTATCCCCTGTATCCCTAATTATTTCAGCGATATGGAATTCCTTTTTCTTTATGTGGTAACCTTGGCCCTGTGGAGAAGTCTGAATTCCTGAGTTCTCTCTTAATTGCTTCTCTCTCTCTCTCTCTCTCTCTCTCCACACACTCACACTGTCCTCATATTTTCTAAACAATTTTACTTTGAAAAATAATTAAGTGTTTTTTACTTTGAGCATTGGCACTTTGTCATTATCAAACTTAGAATATGTATCATTGTTCCAGTATACTTTTCTAACCCACAGTCTATGTTTAATTTTTGTTCATTGTCTCAAAATCCTTTTTTCCCCCCCTCTAAATACTTTCTACTTTATTAAAATGAATCCTGAGGCCAGGGAGATGGCTTAAAGGATTGCAGCACATATTTTGTATGTGGGAACCTCTAGTTTCTTAGCCAGCTGTGGAATTCCTATCCAGCAACTAAGAACAAGAAGAAAATTGTACTTGGGGCTGGAGAGATAGTACAGTGGGTAGGGTGTTTGTCTTGCATGTGGTCAACCTGGGTTTAATCCCCCGCACCCCCGTAAGGTCCCCAAGTACCACCAGGAGTGATTCCTGAGTGCAGAGCCAAGAGTAAGACCTGAGAAACTCCTGGTGTGGCCCAAAAAACAAAAAAGGAGATGAAGAAGATGAATAACAAGAAGGAGGAGGAGGAGGGAGAGGAGGAGGAAGAGGAAGAGGGGAGGGGGAGGAGGAACAGGGGAGGAGGGGGAAAAGAAAGGGGAGAAGGAGAAGAAAAAAAGAGAATTATACTTAAAATAATACTTAATGGTGGGGGCTGGAGCAGTAGCACAGCAGGTAGGGTGTTTGCCTTGCATGCGGCCGACCTAGGTTCAATTCCCAGCATCCCATATGGTCCCCTGAGCACTGCCAGGGGTGATTCCTGAGTGCAGAACCCCTGCGCATCGCAGGTGTGACCCAAAAAACAAAATAAATAAATAAAATAAAATAAAATACTTAATGGGCCAGGGAGATAGCTCAAAAGGCAAGCAGAAGGCCTGGGTTCCATATCCAGCACCACATAGTCCGTCTGAACACCAATGATCTCTAATCCCAGCATTAAGGGACTAGAGCACACAGAATGTGGCCTCAAATGACAAAAAGTACCAATATCCTTGCACACAACCTATGCTCCTTTCCTCCATGCGTGTTTTTTTAATAGAGGACCAACTCCCGGCCAGGGTGCTGTGTTCCACCGTGTATCAGTGCAGTGTTGCTTGGGCGAGTGGTGTTGGAGGCTTCCAGTGCAACCCACTGCCTTGGGATGTGGGGGGTGCAGGGGGCCCCAGTAACCACTCTCCGGCCCGCAGAGGTGGCCCGAGGATTGATCCGATGGTGCAAGGAGGGACCAACCGAATGAACACGAGACACAAGAGACAGAGTACAGTTTAGAAACAGAGAGAAAAAGAGACAGGCTTTATTGAGGGCAGCTCAGTCAGGAGCAGAAGCAATATAACCATATATGGTAAGGTCAGCAACAAGAGCTTTACCTAACATTCAAGGTAGACATTTGTACATCAAAGGGTCTTGTGGCAGTAGGTGCATCCTGAGCTTTACATTTATATATCAAAGGGTCTTAGGGAGTAGATGCATCCTGGAGGTTACTATAGATAAGGCCAGATAAGCTGTCAGCCTGATGTGTGCCTATAGATCAGGTATCTGCTGAGATCAGGAAGTCCTGGGAGACTGTCACCAATGTCTGTCCCAAGCAGTTCCTAACATGGGAACCATGGCCAGGGTCTATGAGAGGGCTCTTGGCTTCCCACAGTGGGGAGGGGCGTGGAGAGCATACACTAGGTTTTAAAAACCAAGTCAAGAAGGACTTGCGGGTTGTTTTGTTTTGCTTGCTCATTTTCCCCTCTTCCCTTCCACTGTTGCTGTGACAGGGGGTTTGCACACTTGGTTGTGACAGTTGGGGGTCTAAGCTGAGGGGGAGGGGTGCAGCACTCAGTCTCACATTTTTGTGGTGGTTCTTGCACGAACTCGGGTGCGTGAGACAACGATCATACTTTGTTTATGGTGTCAGAGACCCCAAATGGTCATGCCATATTGTATCCTTGAGGACAGAACAAGTAAGCTGAATTCAGGTCTTCTAAAGATCACAAACTGTGATAAAAGAAATGCTAAAAGAGTCAGGGACACACCTCTGAGTTATATCCCCAGCACCACAGGGACAAACAGCACTGTAGGCCTGGGCTAGAGGGTCACAGGTATGGGCCCTGCACAGTAGCCTCGCTTGGGAGGCCCTGTCATGTTGGGGCAAGCAGTGATCTTACAAGGAATGAGCCTCTTTGGGAACCAGGGAACTATCCTCCTGGGTCCCAGAAAAGGATTTTTTTTTTTGGAGATGGGCACACCCAGCAGTGCTCAGGGCTTCCTCCTGGTTCATTCCTGACAGAGCTTGGGAGAACCACATGGGATGGGATACTGTGGATTGAATCTAGTTAGGCCATGTGTTAGGCAAGCACCCTAACCCACTGTACTATCTCTCAGGCCCCTGCAAAGTGTTGATATCAGGCCTTTATTTGGTGAAGCAAGATACTTTCTTATTGAAACTTATTTAGAAAGGTGTGAGGGGGAGAGAAATATGTGTTTAAGAGAAAAAAATGGCTTCTTCAGAGTAGATAAGCAAAAAAAAAAAAACATAGACAAGCAAGCAAAATACTGTTCAAGGGAGAACACGGGTTTGAAGAGCAAGCTAACATCAGACTCTTAACTAGTAGTAACCAGCAGACCCAGGCCAGTTACCAAAGTGTCCGAAGATCTAGCAATTTTAGCTTCCCCAACTTGAGTTCCGGGCATTGCAGACACGTGGAGAGGCTCAAGAGCAAAACCAAAGGGTTGAGAGGTACTGCTCTGGCGCTCTCAAAGCCCAACAACGAAATCCAGGAGACCCAGGAGCTTTGAGAGGCGACATTGGCAATTATTTGGGCACTTCTCCAGCACCTGAAACAGGTTCTTAAACTTCCACACGAACAGGAACAGCCCGGAGGTAAATAATAAAGACTTCTGGACTCCGTCCCTAGAATTACCGGAGGCCCCGGAACTTGCCTTTTAACCAGTGCCAGCCAAGGCGGCCCCCAGGTTTGCGATGTTGGGGAGAACTGCAAAATTCTGCCGAATTGGTGGAGCCTTAAGAGGTTTCGAGTTCCTCCCCAGGTCACGTTAAAGCAGCCAGGGAGCCTGGAGTTAAAAGTCCTGCAATACCCAGGGCGCGTGATCTGGCTGCTGACAGCCTGGGGGCGCCCCCGGACAGGCCCTTCCCTGGGTCCCTGCCCTCGGGCAGCGGCCCCTAGTCGCCCTCCCGGAATCACGCGGTCGCGGGGGCCCGGTCCCCGCCCGCAGCGGGGCGGGGCGGAGCGCGGGGCGGCGCCAGGCGCGGGTCCTTAATCTGGGGACGCCGAGCGCCCGGCGCGGGTGCCGGTGGCGGGGCCGAGAGGCTGCGGGGACACAATGCTCGGGCTCATCCCTCTCCTCTCTTTGCTCCTGGTGCCGCTGCAGACGGGCGCGGCGGGCCTGCTGCGTGTAAGTCCAACCCTCTCCTGCGCCGGGACGCGCCGAGCGGGCACGGGCTGGCGGAGGACCGGGCAGGGACCGCGGCCCCGCGCTTCTGGGCTTTGGTGGGCGCGGGGCGCGGGGACCCCAGGACGCAGCGCCGAGCCGACGACAGCTGGTGGCAGGCACTGGCCCGGCCCTCCCGTCGGGGGCGGGCCGGGCGGGGCGCGCGTCCTTCTCGGCATCGCTGCGGCTCCCGGGTTCCGCCTCGGTTACCCCTTTGCTCCGGGACCCACGTTCCCCATCGGCGTCACGAGGGGGCTAGTAGCAGGTGCGCCCCAAATTTGCAGCGGGGCATGTATACAAATGGGAGGGGGTTGTGTTCTCTCGGGAGAGCGCGTTTCTGCAGCAGGCGGGGGTGGGCACCTGGGGACTCGGGGGCGGCCTCCCTTGCCCAGCGTATGCTCTGCTGGAGCGCTCCGGAAGGAGAAAAAAATGGGGTCAGGAGCGAGGTCCCCCCACTAACGCTGCCAATGGGAACTTGGGGCTGATCGCTTCCCAGGCGTGCGCTTTTCAAACGTCTCGCGCCCTCGGCTCGGCGCTCCCCGCCCCCGATCCTCCGGGGTCTGGGATTTGCCAGCCGCCGCGGAGGGGGGCGGGCCGCCGGCTGGCCCCCAGCGGCGCGGCAGAGGGGGTCTGGCGCGCCAGGTAGGCGAGGTACCCGGGCCGGCGCGCGCGGCCCAGCGGAAGCACAGTCTCCGCCGCACCGTGCGCGCTCTCGGGGGCGCAGCGGCCCGGCTGCGGACGCTGGGGACCCGGGGGGCGGTACGGGGAGACGTGGGCGCCCTCACCCAGCAGCTCCGACTTCCGTACCTCCGGGAGCTGGGGGTGGGGCCGGGCCAATCTGGAGCACGTTTGAAGTAGTTAGGTGCTTGCCAGGGGGTCCGTGGCTTGTACTTGACAACGCTTTGATGAATGATGCCGAGAGCGAAGAGGGTTGCAGTGATAATCGCAAACGGAGAATGTGAAGTATTTGAACAGCAGCTGCTGAGAATATTTTCATGTTGGGTTCTTGGGCGGTCGGGGAGGGCGGGGAAAGCAAACAACTACTTGATGACCTCCGTGTACCTTGCCCTGACTTCCAGTTTGGAGTGAAGTGGGGCTTCTGGGAAGCCAGGAAGAGCCCCGGGTGAGAGCTAGCTAGCTTTGAGACCCTCTGGTACGTGGAACTGTTAGGCTTTCTCGGGGAATATTTGGAAGGAACGCTGTCAGGGAAGGGGAGGGGGCGCGGGACAGATGTAACCTGCCTCTGGGAGGTTTGTGGGAGGGAGAGAGGATTTATGGGTGAGGGGCAGGATGGCGCCTTGTGGGTAAATGTTAGCGTTGCCTTCTGCAGCTTGGTTCTGCAGAGGGCGCTCTGATTGCCTTGCCACAAAGGAGGCTGGCTTCACCCCAGGATTTCTTACACCAGCTGTCTCGTTTGTTCCCCCTGGACCTAATCCTGGAGGCCCCCAGCAGGCCAGCGTTCAGTGATTCCTAAGAACAGTGGTTCTCAAACTTCAGCTGCCCTAGTTATTGAGACAGGAAACCATTTGTTTTGTTTGTTTTGTTTGGCCACACCCAGTGTTATTCGCGTCTTAACTCCTGGCTCTGTGTCCTGGGATCACTCCTGGCAGGGCTCAGGGGACTATGTGGGGTGCTGTGAGAGAGACCTCTCGTTGGACGCCTGCAAGACAAACGCTTTTACTGACACCCACCAGATAGAAAACTTTATTCTATTTTTTTTCTTTTTGCTTTTGGGGTCACACCCTGCTATTCACAGGGGTTACTCCTGGCTCATGCACTCAGGAATTACTCCTGGCAGTGCTCAGGGGACCATATGGGATGCTGGGAATCGAACCCGGGTCTGCCACTTGCAAGGCAAACACCCTATCCACCACCGTGCGATAGCTCCAGCCCCCAGACAGAAAACTTTAAAACAGTAACTTGTTTAAGAAATAATTATTTTTTAACTTAATATATTTTGTCTTTTTTTGATTCTTGGGTCACACCTGGTGGTGCTCAGGGGTTACTCCTGGCTCAGCACTCAGGAATTATCCCTGGCAGTGCTGGGGGATCATATGGGATGCTGGGAATCGAAACCGGGTGGCTGCGTGTAAGGCAAACGCCCTACCCGCTGTGCTGTCACTCCAGCCCCACTTAACATATTTTGAAAAATAATAATATTCCCCCAAAAATGATTTTTTTTTAGGATGCAGAGTGGCATTGTTTGACATTTTTTTGTAAAACTCTTTCAGTCTTCATGAGTCAGGTTCTTCTAGCTTTCTGTATTCAGCCTTGCCTTATCTCACGTCACTCAGCTTCCGGAAAAGCTCTTACTTTCCGGTCATGAAGGAAGGAGAACTGGAGTGGCAGTTACGGCTTAGCATTATTAATCACACTTTGAAATCCAGTCATTTGAAAGGATTGGGGGAGGGTGAGCGACTGGACCACACTGGTGACACTTGGGCTCCTAGTGCTATGCTCCTGAGAGTGGCTCAGACCTTGTGCAGTGCTGGAGTTCAAACTTAGGTGTTCAGCCGCCTGCAAGGCAAGTGCTTTAACTTTACCCAGTACTATCCCTGACCCTGGCTGATTTTAAGTTATTAAACAACTTCCTGTGCATGGTGGCCACACTTTGAACCTCAAAAAAATGAATAAATAAACTGGAAGTATGCTGTAGGGCATGCTTTTGAAAAAGCAAGTTGTCTATGGCACCATCTGGCTCTGGAGTGGCTTGGACTCTAGGCGGGTTGGGCTGATGTCAGTGGCCTTCAGGTTTTGAGTGGGGACAACATGGCTCTTATATCCCACAAAGCTGATGCCAGTTCCTGGTTGCAGGCGGAGCTGACCTGGAAACCTCTCCTTGACCTCTGTCCTTTTTAAGAAGCTCACCACCCAGGACTGGCAAGGGGGGACCCACTTAGGAGCCGAGGAAATGGCCATCTTCAGGCAGCTGTCCGTGGGCATGAAGGCTGCCCTGGCAGCCAGCACTGTCTTCGTGTCCATGATCGTCTCACGCTCCTATCTCGCAGAGAGCCTAGAGCTCCGGGCCTGGCGTTGGCTCTTCCGCCTGCAGATGGCCCTGTTCACCAATTCTCTCATGCTCATTGGCTCTCTGTACATCTGGCGGGGCACGGTGGGCAACCTCAGCCACGCCCCCGCTGCAGAGTCTGCCTGCTTCCAGCTCTGGAAGATGGCTGTCTTGACATTTCTGGCCTTGGCCCATTCGAGTTTCTTCACCACACTCTTTTTAGTGGCCGAGGAGCCCTATCTCTTTTCCTTGGTTGCCTATTCCTGCCTGGGGGCCTATGTCATCATGGTCTTTTTCCTCTGTACGCTCAGTGGCATGGAGCAAGCCTACCAACTTGTGGCTTGGCGCAGCACGAAGGCCACGAGCAGCCTGGACAAGAGCAGGAAGCTGGCACTCAGGCCAGCCTTGGCAGTGGCGGTGACCGCCGTGCTCAGCGTGGCCGGGCTTCTGAATGCGGCCCAGCCCCCTGCCGTGAATACCGTAACTGTGCCCATCCACCAGCTACCCCCCTCGATGGACCGCCTCAAGATCGTGCTGCTCTCAGACATCCACTTGGGCCCCACCGTGGGCAGGACCAAGATGGAGATGTTCGTGAGGATGGTGAACAGGCTGGAACCAGATGTCACGGTGATCGTGGGGGACCTCTGCGATTCCGAAGCCTCCATCCTCCGGACCGCTGTCAATCCTCTGAGCCAGCTTCAGTCCCGCCTGGGCACCTACTTCGTCACGGGCAACCACGAGTACTACACGTCAGATGTCAGCAACTGGTTCGCCCTGCTGGAAACTCTGAAGGTCCAGCCCCTGCACAACGAGAACGTGAAGATTTCTGCCAACCGGGCCCAGCACGTTGGCGATAGTGGTGGCGGTGGTGGGGATGGCGGCGAGGGTGACGACTGGATCTGCCTGGCGGGAGTGGACGATATCGAAGCCGACATCCTGCACTACTCTGGCCATGGCATGGATCTCGAGAAGGCGCTGGCCGGCTGTAGTGCTGACCACACCACTGTGCTGCTGGCCCATCAGCCCCTGGCCGCCAAGAGAGCCCTCCAGGCCCGGCCTGATATTAACCTCATCCTCTCCGGGCACACGCATGCTGGGCAGATCTTCCCCTTGAACGTGGCCGCCTACCTCCTGAATCCTTTCTTTGCTGGCCTCTACCAAGTGGCTCAGTCCACGTTTGTCTATGTCAGCCCGGGCACCGCCTACTACGGGATTCCCATGAGACTGGGGAGCCGGGCGGAGATCACAGAGCTCATCCTGCAGCGAGCTCCGTGAACCCACCCCACCACCCTGTAGACCATTTCCAGCCCTCCCTCCTATCCCCTCTTCACTGGCTTCATCCCTTCCCATCTCCTGTGCAACCCTAACCAATTCACCCCTGGTCCCGGTCTCCTGCTAGAATGGTGATAGGGATGGTTTCTGTTGACTGTAGGAGCCAATTGATTTGCACTATGCATTTGGGAGACCACTGCATGTCCACATGTGTGAGGACACGCATCGGCTTTCCATCCCCCGTGGAGTGAGCACCTGCATTGCAGAGCTCACTGGGGGAAACGGAAGCATCCACTACCTCTGGAAATCGATGTGTGGGGAAAGCTCAGTGTTGTTCCAGCTGCTCCGTAGGACTCTCTGGAAACACTGATCTGGAGCACTGTGGCTGCGTAATCCAAGAGAGCTGGTGGGCAGAGTGCTGTCTCCCTGTCTTTGTTTGTTTTCACTCATCTTGTGTTGCGGGCCTCACAGAACCTGCTGGAACCTGGGGCTTATCCTTTGCACGCTTTCAGCAATGCTTAGCTCCTGGGCACTTGGGGTTGGGGCCTGAGTGGAAACATGAGCACAGTGCTCGGTGATGCAGAGGGCATTGCCTTCCTGGCCTCACTCGTGGTGAGGCCCTTTGGGACAGATGCTTTGTCCTATTTGGAGACTGGGAAAGGAGGCAGAGAGGCCAGAGCAAGGGCAACCAGATGGGCCTTGGGAATTCCAGGCTCGCAGGCGCTCCCCCTGAAAATTCTTTTCTGACACTGTTAAAGCCATTCCGGTTTCAGACTCGCTTAGAGAGAACTAGTGATGCTTGCTTTGTGGGGTTTTTGTTCGGTTTTATGTTTGGGGCCAGACCTGCAGTGCTGAGGAGCAGGGGGGTGACTCCTGATGGTGCTCAGGGGACTGTGTGGTGGCAGGGATGGAATCGGGGCTCCCACATGCAAAGTATCTGGCCTAGTGCTTTGAGCTGTGTCTCTAGCCCACAATGATACTTGTTCATAGCATTTCTGTGAGGCTGGTTTTAAGATTTTTTTTTTCCTCATTTAAGTTTTTTTTCCCCCCTTGGTTGCAGGGGTGTGACTTTATTATGCAGGATGTCTTCTGCACTGAATTACATCCTCTGCCACTGAGGCTTAATGGCAATCAGCCTGTGTCTTTGGGGGTCAGGGAGAGAGCCCAAGGGGCTGGCAATATGAGGGAGCCTGGGGCTCAGTCCTCAGCACCACCTGCCCCCAAACAAACAAGATACTCAGGAGAAATGAAATGTGTCTGAGGTATGAAGGCTGTCCTGCCCCCTACTCCATACAAGACACCCTTTAAGTCAGGAGTAGACTTGAACTATGGTGGAGGGCCATGAGCCACCACCAGGGCTAAGGTGCCACTCCCTGCCCTATCCCTGGCTCCCCAGCTCCCTTCTCCTTGATCCCACACCCAGCGCACCCTGCCCTGGCCTTAGCAAAGGTGTTCCCTCGGCCCTCTCCCTTTGCGGTGACCCTGCTCCTTTTGGGGGGGGGGGGCGGGAGGGACCATGTGATTTTGGAGAGGAGCCGTTTTAGGCCTTATCGGATGATGCTCCAAAACTATTCCTGGCTCTGTGCTCGGGGGTGACTCCTGGCCATGCTTGGGGATTGTATGTGGTGGTGAGGGATTGAACCTAGGTCAGCTACGTACATGGCAAGCACCTTAACCTCCTGTACCACCGTCTCTGTCTCCCAAGTTTTTGTTTTTGTTTTGCTTTGGGATCATTCCCAGTTGTGCTCAGGGATCACTCTGTCAGGTGATATGTGGTATGTGGTAGCAGGGATCGAACCCAGGTCAGCCTCCTGCACAGCATGCGCCCTACCTACTGTACTATCTCTCCAGCACCCCCTCCCCCCAGTCCTATTTTTTGAATTGACGTGCTTTGTCTCTTTTCTGTCTCAAATGCTACTGTCCCCCATCCTGACCCTGAATTTCTAGCTGGACCGATTTCTCTGTCGGCAGAAACAAACGCCTGAGGAGACAGCAGCACCTTCTCGTGGAGAGGGGAGTGTCCTGCAGTGTTTCCCACTAGGGTTCAGCTGGGACCTTCTTTCTCTTCTTCATCCATTTACCTTCTTTATTTTCTTTGCTTCTGCCTAGGGAAGTGGTGAGAAACATATACTTGAAGTTTGAAAATTCTTTCAATTATATTTGAGCCTTTAGAAAGAAAAATCTATTAAGTGCAAGTGAAAAGGAGAGTCTGGGGAGATGACTCAAAGGGTCGAAACACATGTTTGCCTGTGAGAGCCCTGTGTTCCACCTCCAGCTTCACGTGATTTCCCTAAGAGTAGCTCCTGAGCACTATCGGTGTGGCCCCTCTCCCACAAAAACAAAAACAGGTTAAATGGTATGCTTCTGATAAATAATGTAGAATGATAATATTGTTATCAAATCTCAAATTAATCCTATCACCATCCAGAGATCCTTTTGAAACGTTGTGTTCAGCCCCGGGGTTGGAGCTGAGAGTTGAGCACTTGCCTGGCCTGTGTGAGGTCCAGGGGACATCTTCAGCGCCACACACCAAAACTGGTCACGTTTGACATTTTTCAATGAGGAATATTTGGAAGTAGCCACCAAGTAGAGAGAACTGCATATAAATTCCCACGTTTTCCGTACCCAGTGTCAACACTGCTAAGCATATTCGCGGTGCCATTATTGCAGCCCCTGAAATGAACGGTAAATTTTCTGTTTGTTTTTGGGCCACACCCGGCAATGCTCAGGGGTTATTTCTGGCTCTGCATTCAGGAGTTATTCCTGGTGGTGCTCAGGAGACCATTTGGGATGCTGGAGATCGAATCCGGGTCAACCGCATGCAAGGCAAATGCCCTACCTGTCACTGTTCTATTTCTCCGACCCCCTGGACAGTAACTCTTTAAGATCAGCTGTTGCCTAGGTTTGGGGCTAAAAGCCAAGTCTTCTGCATCGCACCGGAAAGAGAGGCTTTCCACTATCTAAGTGGTACGTGGCTGTATCTGTTACAGGGATCCGGATTCAAGCACAGTTAATTATGTAAAGAGTGTTCCATTTTTTCTGATTATATCAATTGGTTTTTTTTTTTTTTTCAAAAAGCCTGGCATAAAACATATCATCTTAATGGTTCTAAGTGCATAGTTCATTCCTGTTATGTCTATTCACATTGTTCTGAAACAGATATCAAGCCTTTTCATCTTGCACATGTGAGGTTCAGTATCCTCTGAGTAACTTTTCTCCCCATGTCCTGAGCCCCTGCTAAGTGTCATTCTATTTTCTGCTTTGGTGCATTGCGCTGCTCCTGGTATGTCATTTAAGTGGAATCCTGCAGTATTAGCTTTTTGTGTACTTTTTTGTTTTTTTCCAATTAATGCCCTTTGCCTTCATCCATATTCTAACATGTGGTCACTTTTTTTTTTTTTAATTTACACTGGAACAGTATTCCAGCCTAGGCATGGACCATGCTTTGTTTATCCATCCATCAGGGGATATTTGGCTCATTTTCACTTGTGAATAACGCTGCTAAGAACAAGGGTGTACAGATATCCCTTCCACACGCTGCTTTCTATTCTTGTGCCTTTGTGCTCACACTCTGGGACTGCGGGACCATCTGGGAGTTGGAACTTTACATTTTTTGAGGCGCCTTCCTCTAGCACTGTTTCCTCTAGCACTGACACCATGGCACTGTCCCACCAAGAGGGCCTAACGGTTCCTGTCATCTGCAGATCCTCTAGATCTCTATTGATTGTCCTCATTGCTTATGCGGGACTTGGCTTCTCCAGCCTTGTGAGGTAATGAACTTTCAGTGACTTTGGAGGTTGGAAAGGCGCTTGGCTCTGGAGTCACCAGTCATTTTCTAGTTCTCTGAAATATTCCTCCCCTTTCTCTTTGCTCTGTGAAAGGAGAGTCTGGGAGGAGCATCTGGGCAAACACCCTTCCAGTGCTTCTCTTCCCCGTCCCCAATCCCTCTTCTCTCTTCCAAGAGGGCTAGCAACCTAGGAGGAGGTGGTCTCTGCCCTTCCCCTCCCCCCCCCAACCTAATAGCTTGTGCCAGGAGTCCCCAAACATTGCGCTCTCTAGGGAGAGTGGAATAGACGTGAAGCCTCCTGGCAATGGAGATGCCCCCGTCGAATATGTGCTTTTCAGAATTCTAGGAAGGACTCCACTGTCTTCACCTGATCAGCATGGCCTATAACCTGTGGCCGCGCCGAGCTCCTTTAATTCCTTCTAGTTGAGGAATGGGCCCCCAGAATTGTAAATACAATGTTCTTTAGTCCCAAGGATTAGGAAGCATGTGGAATATATCTGTCACTTGGTAACGGCATGTATTAGTGTTAAACTTAATGTCCTGTTTTTCAAAAAAAATGCTTCTTAACCATCAAAATCGCCTAGGACAGATCACTTAACTGTACACATGCTCTGCTGAACAGTGTTTGGTCCTGCTGTGTGTCTGGCCCACATTTAAGCTGCTGTTTGACCTCCCAGTATTATACCACATGTATGTACACAGGGGAGAGGGGGCGGGTGGGGTGAATTTTCCCTTGCTGGGAATTGGGGTTTATTTTGTAATTTTTTCTTTTTTTTTTAATGATCACATCCGTTGTAAAATGACAATGCTGCTGAGCTTGTGTGTCTGAAATAAAGCTGTACTGCTTCAGTCTTGCCGCTGCTTGGCCAGTTCATTTGAAGAGGGTCGTTGTCTCCGCAGCACTTACGTGGGTCCGGAATCCAGCCTGCAGACAACCTCCCTGAGGGTGTGACTCCACTTTGAGGGGACAGTGGATGTTTAGAAAGCTGGGAGCTGCATCCCCTGGGGGGCCCTTAAATATGCAGAGGGGTCAGCTTCGAGGTAGGAAGTAGATTCCCCTAGGCACTGATCCAGTGTGCCCCCGTGATCCTTCCTCTGCAGTTAGCTGCCACCCTACCCTCCAGGTTACTTGTCACTGACCAGTCCAGAGAACCTAGTGTTTTATCTGTATCCAACAGGGTGAGGGGGTGAGGGGAGCCCCTGGAGAGAGTGTGTGGACGGTCCTGCCCGAGACGCACTTCTTGGTTCTTTTTGTTGAAATAGCGAGAACACCCAGCTGGACACCAGAGGCTGTGGGTCTTTTCCAGGAACAGTGCTGCTGGCCCCAGGGCTGCCACTGGGAGGGAGAATCGGGGCTCACAGGGGAATGGTTGGAGGGTTGCGGGGAGCACTGATCCCCATGATTCCAGGAGGGGTCTGGTCCTTCTCTCTGCAGTGTCCCCTGACCCGTGGCAAGAGCCTCACGTCAGCCAGTTCATTCGTGTCCAGGCTCAGGCAGTGGGGATGGGTCCCCTGAAGGCCAGACCCACCTCTGCCAGTCTCCCTGAGGGCTAGGGGGCGCTCAGGACACCCTGACCCCTGGAGCATCTCTGACTCCTCAGCAACTGACACCACTTCCCTTTGGACATCGCAAGTCTCACTAGGAAAGAATTGGAGCACTTCCCCCCCACCCCCTTGGTTTTTGGGGCCATACCCAGCGATTCTCAGGTCTTAAGTTCTTAAGATCTTAAGATTCTCAAGTTCTGGTGATACTCATGGGTGCCAGGGATTGAACCTGGGTCAGCTGCGTGCAAGCCAAACTCCATAACCCCCATCCGCTCTCTCCGGCCCCAGGGCTGAGGGACTCTGCAGTGTGAGTCCGGGTGGTGTCACTGCAGGGTTCTATCTCGAGAGGACCCAGTCACCCCTCCATTTCTTTCACTTCATTTTGCAGAGGGGAAGCCCCCAAGCAGGGAGTCAGGGGTGTGTGGGGGAAGTGGGGAATGGCATGCCAGCTCTGTTGACGGGCTGATAAGGGCTCAGATCTAGCAGTGCAGGGCTGTGCGGGTGGCCCTCGGTGCAGGCATCCAACTCAGAGCCTCACACATGCAGGGCCAGTGCAACTGCCCTTTGGGCTCCTTCCCCAGCCCCTCTTGTCACTGGACTGTGTGTGGGGACTGCCCCAGAGCCCGGGCTGGAAGAAGTGGTTTTTGCCTTGCAGCGCTGACACCACCTTTGGCCCACACGTTCTTGATTAGTCTCCTCAATGGACGTGTCAGGGATCACCGGCAGGTGGCCCGAACTCCTCACCCTCCAGGAATGCTGTGGCTGAGTTGGCTTGAAGGTGCCTCTGGCCTGCAGACCTGAGCGGCAACTCTGACCTTTGCTGGTGGAGGCAGCAGGGCTGCCATGTGACATGGTGACATGGTGACATGGGTTCTGTGCATCCTGCCAGGATCTGTGTCCCTCCCCTGTGTCACCCTGTTTCCCCTGCCCTCCTTTGCCCATGTAGATAGCTCTCAGGTCACTCTAGGGCCATGGTCCCCACCTTCCCTGCCACATCATCATCCTTCAGGCTGTCCAGGAAAAGGCAGTCAGGTGGGAGGTTGTCTGACCCCCACTTTTATGTTCCCATCCTGGCTCTGCTTGGCAGTACCCCTCTTGTCTCCCCATCACAGTGCCCGCTGGAGTTGTGACCAGCTTCTGGAATTCACCTCCACCCCAAGGGGCACTGTGTGAGGTGCCCGTACAAAGATGATGGTAGGGGGCCAAGAAGAATCCCCCTTGCTGACGCATGTCCACCACCCCTCAGCAGCCCCCTCCTGAGTCCCCAGGGATCCCCCTAAAGTCGGCTTCTCTGGCAGAAATACAGATTCCTTAAAGGTGGTGGTTTCTAGAATGTCCAGAATGTTGGAGAATGTTCCAAGTGGGGATCCTGTTCTGAGCCTGTCAATCACCCAACCTTCTTTTGGGTTCTCCTTCCCTTCCTTTATTCCATTCTTCTGCCACACCCAGCTGTGCTTGGGGCTGAGTCCTGGCTCTGTGCTCAGGGATCACTCCTGGAAGTGCTGGGGGACCATATTGGGTGCTGGGGATCAAACCTGGGTCTACCATGTACAAGGTGGGTGCCTTACGCACTGTACAATCTGAAGAAAGAGACTGTCAACCCGTCTCTTTCTTCAGAGCTTCCAAATCTATCAACAATAGCCAGGCAAACACACACTGGGACGAATGACCTGCCCATTCCAGGGGTGGGGCTGCCACAAATGCCAGCTCCTCCATTTCCGTCTGTGTGCATGCCATGGGATGTCACTGCCCACCTAGCACCAGCTCCAGCCTCTTCTTGTTTGACTTCTAGGAAAGATCCAGGTAAGACTCACAGAGAGGAGCAGCACTCAGGCCATTCCTGGGGCCTGTGTCTTCACCGGGGTTGCCCTAGAAGCAGAATGTGAAGCCAGGGCTTGGGTGCAGAGGTGATCGGAGAAGTGATCCAAGAGCCCAGGTACCACGGATGGCAAAACAGGGACCTCAGTAACCCTGACTGTCAGAGCTGTCATTTCTGCATGATTGCCTGGGAAATATGCAAAAGGTCTCCGGAAGGAGGAGAATGTGGTTCTCCAGCCGTGTCGCTTGGGGCCACTCTGGCATGTAGGTTCCCCAGATACAGTGCAGCAGGTCTCAAAGCCTGGAGGAGTGAGTCTGAGCTGAGACACTGTCACGGGCCCCCTATCCTCAGCTCCTGAAGCTGAGTTAAGTTCAGGCTGAGCTGATGTGAGGAGGTTTGGAGAAACATTTCTGCCTTCTCTGTTCTCTCTATATACCTGAGATCTGGCCCCAGCTGGTTTAGGAGAGCATCTTGCTAACCTCAGGAGCTGCATACTATGCCATCACATGTGGGGGTAGGCACATACTGCATATATTATCCACACATCATAGACAGCTCGTTTATCTCATCATCCTCTTTCATTTCTGTCCATATTTGATTGCATTTGAAGCATTTTAGCATGACCATACAGATGCTTCCATTAACATAGCCCTCCCCATCTGTCCCTCTGTTTGTCCACACTTTTTTTTTTCTGGATGCATTTCAATGAATCAAAAACACTGAACACTTCCTTGTCACACTTTGCCATCATGGTAATCATTAACTAGAGGTTGATATCTGCACAGAACCCTTTAAATAGAGGTGTGTGTGTGTGTGTGTGTGTGTGTGTGTGTGTGTGTGTGTAAAATGAAATGCACAAATTTTCTTTTGGAGGGGCATTTGGCACCACTTTCAACTGTGCTCTGGCCTTACTCCTGGCCTGTGCTCATGGATCACTCATGTCAGTGCTCATGGGACCATATGTCATCCTGGGGCTCAAACCACTACAACCCTGTGTAAGGCCAGTGTCTTAACCTCAATACTCCCTCACCAACAGTGCACAGATCTTAACTATACCATTTAGTGAGTTTTGACAGTTATAGAGCAGTATAATCCAAAGCCTATATAATATTCCCATTATCTCAGAAAGATCTCTTGTGTTCCTTCCCAAGAAATACCTATTCCCAGATCTTGTGTTCCTTGTGTTCCTTCCCAAGAAATAACTTTTCCGTGTTCTTCTGTTTTTTAGCCCACACCCAGCAGTGCTTAGGGTCACATCCCAGTCTTAGGGGACTGGCTCAGTCTGTTGAACTATCCCTCCAGCCCTCTAACAATAATCTGGTTTGTTTTATTTTAATGCCATTGCTGTGTGATTCAACTTACAGAATCTCACGCATTTTGGATTTGGCTTCTATGATGCCATCAGATTCTGGTTCACCTGAAACGGAAGTTCCATAATGAGTGCTGTGCAGGGCGGGGATGTGTACAGAATGTTGAGTCACAATACCGAAGGCGTTAGGCCTGCCTGTTCCCCTCTTCCAGGGCTCAGCCTGAGTCACAGCATCACATGGGGCCTGCCTGATGCCTCCTTGCTAAAGTTCCAACAGCTGTGCAAATCATGGTTGCAGTATTTACCGACGGCTAGAGCAATTCTTTCATCTCACAAAGATAAGGGTGACTTTTTGTTTCCCTGTTTAGATTCTATTAATCTACCTGCTATTATTAGCTGGAATAATGTGAAGTATCTTCTACCATCAACTTTCTTGATGCCCTGGAATATAGTGTTTATGGCAATGGGAAGTGAACAACTGAATTATTTCCCTCTATCATTTTTTTTTTCAGAATAGTGACTGTTTACATTATTACAATGTGGACAGAATATCCACCGGTGATTGGTAACTTTTGTTTTATCGCCATGAACCATAACAGCCTTGAAGTTCCCACCCACCCCATCCCCAACCTGTACCAGTACCTGGACACTATCCAAGCTCAGTTAAAACCTGAATGGCTAAGAGCGAGGTCCAGCTTTACCGTTTTAATTTCTTTACATTTTTTGGTTTGTTTTCACTGTAGGTTATATCCTAGAGTACCTGGGGGCCATGGATCAAACCCAGGGCCTCATATATGTAAGACGTTTGCACTACCACTTCAGCCACATCCCCAGCTCTAGGTCTGCTAATTTATTATTTTTTTGGGGAACCACACCCATGGTGCTGGGGGGCTACTCCCATCTTATTGCCCAGAGGTTGCTTCTGGTGATACTTGGGGAGACCCATGCAGTGCGGGGGATCGAACCCAGAGCATGCAAAGTAAAAGGTAAAAAGGTAAAGGCCCTCCCATTGTTCATCGATTTGCTCGAGCGGGCCCAGTAACGTCTCCATCATGAGACTTGTTGTTACTGTGTTTGGCATATCGAATACGTCACGGGGAGCTTGCCAGGCTCTGCCTTGCGGGCGAGATACTCTCGGCAGCTTGCCGGGCTCTCCGAGAGGGGCGGAG